TGATTTCCAGTTCCGTATTTTTAGATTTATAGGAGATAATGTTTTTGGAAATTTCACTGGTACGGATATGATTTTTACAAAACAATGTAAACGGCCTTCAGTGGCAACATGACTTCGTTTTTTCAAGATCAATCAGAAATTAGAAAATCATTAATCATGTGTACTAATTCTGATGAACAAATTATTGAAATGATTTGTTTTTATATAGAATTATACGACCTTTCACACCCGAAATATACGGATAGTGCATAAAAAGACAACATTTGGTGTACTATTATACATGAAATAAATCTATCGAGTATTGGGGTAGTGGTATTTGTTAATACTTATGGCTACAACACTTTTGGGCATTTTATCCAAAATTGCGACACGTTTGGGCATTATTTTATTCTAATATTATAACATTATTATATTATTACAATATTATAATGTTATAGGTACTTTATAATATAGAGTCTACTTTACTATATACGATATAGAGTCTATGCAGTTTTTTTGTTAAATAATACTTATATGGGTTTTGATACATGTATAAAGTATAAGTATATTATCCCAATAGTTTTACTTTTACAACATCAGATACAAGAGAAGTCACTACAAAGAATTTTGTACCGGAGGCACACAATTAATAATAATTGAGAATATACAATCTTTAATGGGACTGTTTAACATTAATATGCTATGGAAAAGTATATAAGAAAATTTGCCGAACTAATTAAAAGTACCAATGATTTGAAGCAGTGGTGGCCATTTGAAGCAGGTTTATTCGTTTATTGGAATACATACCTATAAAGACTAATATTGTACTCAACATTCATTTCCAAAAAAATAAACGACCATAATATCCGACTACAAAATATATGTAAAAGATTAGACCAAAATCCTGGGTATGATAAAAAGAATTTCTCAAAGCTATAATAATAATAATAACAATCATTTTAATAATATCCCTATAACTAAATTTTTTATTGACATTTTATACTTTTATAACATGATTTTTATGAGAAATCATTTTTATAAAACATGATTTATGATATTAAAATTTATGATATCCGACCTTATGATACATGACTTTCTAACACTTGACCTAGATTCGTGGTTATAAGGGGGGGCAATAGGTGGATCACCCCCCTTTGAGATTTAATTTTTTAAATTTAGTATATCGCTGGCCTAACAACACCTATCTGCAAATTGTCGAACTTTATAATTTGACAGCAAAATATTTAAAATTTCCTTGATTATATTTTACGTTTTAACTATGGATAGTATATTATATTAGTCCGCGGTTTTTATTATTATCTATGAACTGTGATTAGAATATTTGATAAGCATACAGACTTCTATACTAACTTGGTTTAAAAATAAGTTGATACATATAGTGGTAGCAAGGTGTATTTATCACCTTGGGAGGTAGGTAAATTATATAGTTTGTCGTTTATCTACTTCCGTGGGCTATTGTTATAGTGTGATACACAATATTGCTATCAAATAGTAGAGACTGCTGTCATCTTGGTTAATGTTTCAATTCTATATATTGCTACTATGTACGTGATTTACTTTATTTATTTAGATTGAAGACATAGTTGAGGTCAACAACTAGCGAAGGCCAATTAGATGGGCTAGCACTGCTTCATATTCATAGGGACACAACACATAAATATTAGTATATTAAATATTATTAATATATAAACACTATTATACCTAGCTATAATCCGTACATATCTTTTATATTATATGCAAGTATATACTGTATGATATATCAAATGTGATGAGGTGTAAGAGGCTTGACTTTAATTTTGCCCTCCCCCTCTTGAACATTGTGATATGTGGCAATATTGTTTAGCAAGTGATAAGCCACCGTATCATATATTCATTAGGTGTATGATGCGTACAGATGCTGTTCTGTTAAAAGATGTATTTGATAATTTTAGAAAAACTTGTTATAAAAATTACGACTTAGATCCAGTATATTATAAATCTATACCACATTTAGCAGATACAGTTTCATTAAAAATGAAAAACAAAATTTAGAATTATTAACAAGTATAAGTACATATGATTATATGAAATGTATAGACATGCCATTGCAAATGATTGTTATTTCTATGACAAAAGAACTGGTAAAACAGTAAAATTAACTAAAGAAAAACCTGAAGTAAAAAGAATAGTGAAAAACACAATAGTTTTATATTTTATTTTATTTACAACAGTACAGGCCGAGACCCAAAAAACATCAAGTGATTTATATAAATATGATAATACACAAAATTAGTTTTGCAGATATTTAGTTAGAATAAAAATAATAGCAGTAATAAAAATATTAAATAAATAAATAAAAACCCCAGCTGAAAAATGTATGGATAGTTAAAAGCGGGGTTCTCATTAGCAAGACGCATAGAGATGGTCGAGTAGTACCGCCAAGACGGTAGAGTGGGGAGGTTAGTGTATAGTTATAAATAGATAATGGAATAACAAAGGAAAAAGTTAATCTAGTATTATGAGATGAAACTTTAAAATTGATTTGGGAAAGAAGTGCAGAACAGTCGATTAAATTAGATTCACAGAGTTCGCTGATCTCCTACGAACACAGCAAGGCTGGGTAAATTTAAAACTTTGCGGATGGGTTCATAATCATATGGAGGATAAGGAACCTTTAAAAAGTAAGCAGAAAATGACAGGAAGGTGTAAGAGTAACGCATGTACCGCTACCATCTTCTGCATCATGATAGCATTCGCAGTTATTTTCAAATTTATCTGTAAGTAGACGATCTTGGGGAAGGCTATGTGGCACTATCTATCTTTTCACCAACAAACATGCTATACTCATATTTAATTGAACAGATGGCGGGTTTTACCCCTTTACTCTCTCCCTGCTTAAACTTTAAAATCGAATATCTTATTAACGGGTTGACGGATAATAAACATTTACATTTTAAATACCAAAATCTATTTAAATTAATACTCCATATATTTATGGGATTTTCAATACAGGTTCTCATTTAAAAAACCAAAATTGGTATCGCCATCAGATGTTTCTTAAATGCCGTTAAAAATCTAAGTATTCGAAAATACCTTTAAAAATTCCAAAAGCCAAAATTAAAATATATGAACAATTTAACCAAAAGAATGGGTTGATCATGGTTAGTAAATCACCATGTATATAAATTGAAAATAATCCCAGATTTATTATGTTAAACTGAATATACATACAACTGAATAACATGATAACAATGAAAAATTAAAAACAAAATAAATATTAATAAATATTTGTTATTTTTTTTTTTTTTTATTGAACAAAAAGAAACATCGGCTACGAGGCCATTATTTATAATAGTACATTAATTTAAATTAATTAAATATATTACATTTTGTATAAAAATTCTTAAATTAGGTTGTATAGTTTGGTATCCTTTAAAAAGTTGAATATGATGGTATTTAATTGGAGGTCTGGTTGTAGAGCTTCATTAAGTTGGTAAGGAATGGAGTATTTGGATCTTGAGTCTGCGTATTTGAGACAATCAATGATTATATGTTCGACGGTGCACTCCACTCCGCATGTTTCGCATATGGGGGGTCTTTTCTAGCCATGAGGTGGTTGTGTGTTACGAAGGTATGTCCAATTCGAAGACGATTAATAATGGTTTCATCTTTCCTATTTAAACCGGGGTTTCTCCAAACTTGGATATTGTTTTTTATTGCGTTTAGTTTGGTGTTTTGTTTTGACCAGTGTTTTTGCCATTTATGAAGTAGAATCATCTGTGTAAGTTTTTTTAAATCTGTATAGGTACTAAAATTTAGAATATAGGTGTCGGAAGATGAGGCTGCTTTGGATGCTTCTTGATTTACTAATTCATTGCCATCAATTCCACAGTGTCCAGGTATTCATAAGAAGGCTATTTCTATTCCTTTTTGATTTACTTTATAGGTTTTTTCGTGAATAAGTTTGGATATATCTGATGGATTTGTAAGGTTATTTATGCCAGATAAGCTGCTGAGAGAGTCACTTAGAATTAAATANTTCTTGTCTTGTGCGACGTTTCTTTATTTGTGATTATATTTTGTAGAGCTTTAAATATGGCTAATGCTTAGGCTGTGTAAATAGAACATACAGGGGGAAGTTTGTAGGACGAGGAGGAGTTTTCTGTTATTATAGATATTCCAACTTTTTGGTCTGTTTTAGATGCATCAGTGTAGATATGTTTGTAGTTAGGGTATTTTTGTAATGTGTTTTGAAAGACGTTTCTGAAAATAATAGGACTGGTGTTTTCTTTTTTGAATTCGGAAATTTCTAGATTTATGTCAAAGTAAGTTTTCCACGGAGGGAAACTAGGGGGTTTTGTTTTTATTAGGTGTTGTAATTCTATGTGGTATTCTTCAGCTTTTTTTTTTTGTTATTATCTAGACATTTATTTGAAGGGTTTTCTATATTTATGAGTAATCTGGCTGTATATAGAAGGGTGTTATATGTTCTTCTTAAGTCCGGTGGTAATTCGTTAGCTAAGTTTCTCAAACTTATAATGGGACTGGATTTGAAGGCACCAAGTGCGAAACGTAATCCCGTATTAAGAGGTGTATCAAACATTTTTAAGTATTTTTGGTTGGCCGTACTAAATATAGTTGAACCATATTCAGCTTTAGATCTAATTAATGCTCTGTAAATCTTTAATAGTGAAGAGGTGTCTCCTCTCCAGGATGTATGTGAAATGATTTTTACTATATTGAGTTTTTGTATTAATGACGTTTTCGTCGAATATCATGCTGAGGATTTTGATTGTGTTTTTAGTTGGGATAATTCTATTGTTTATTTTTAACTGAGGTATTTCTTGGTTTCTTTTTTTTTGAAAATAAAATAAATTGGGATTTCTCACAGGAAAAATTGAAACCAGTGATGTAAGACCACTTTGTAAGACTGTCAATGGTTTTTTGTAGGTAATATTGTACCGTCTTTGTGTTTTGGCTTCTAATTATGATGTTGAAATCATCTGCGAATAGACTGGCAGTTACAGCCTTATTGTTTCAACGATGTCATTTATTGCTAATAGAAAAATAGTTACTGCCAATGAGGATCCTTGGGGAATACCGTTTTGTTGTGGGAAAGGGGTTGAAAATGAATTTGAAACTTTTACTTGGAAATGCCGGTCAATAAGGAAGTCGTTTATATAATTATACATATTACCGTATGCTAGTATTTTACTTAATATTACAAGTACTCTGTGCTTCCATACAGAGTCGTAGGCCTTAGATATGTCAAGGCTTAACATACGTAGTGTTTGTTTGTTTTCCAGAGCTAGGTCGGTTTTTGATTTAATTACGTGTAGGTTGTCAATTGTGGATCTCGATGGACGAAAACCACTTTGTTCTTTATTTATGATATTGTTTTTTTCAAGGAACCAAATGAGTCGGGTGTTTATAATTTTTTCCATCCATTTTGTCATAGTATTTAACAGAGTTATTGGTCTGTAACCCTCAACGGAGTGTTTATTTTTTCCGGGTTTGAGAATTGGAATAATTGTGCCTCTTTTCCAATTATTGGGAAGAGTTCCTAATGTCCATATCGTAATGTATAGATGTAGTAGGTAGTTTCTGGCGGTCTTGCCAAGATTGTGAATGAAGCAATATGGTATTCTGTCGGGCCCGGGGCTTTTACATCTACATTTCGCGAGTGCTACTTTCATTTCTTTTATGGAGAAAGAATCATTTAGGCTAATTTGGGCTGGACAAAGAGGATTTATGTTAAATGTTATAGGTATATTTTCTGCCTTTGTTTTTATTTCGTTAATGAATTGTTGTTTGTAAATCTTATCACTGAAGTTGTCTTGGAAGTAGGAACCGATTTTTTGGGCAACCCTTTTTGGGTCGGATGTTGTACCGGATGCGTCGGTTATGTGAATTTCCTGATCACAATTTAAACCTTTGAGTGATCGAATTTTATTCCAAATTAGGGACGGGTGTGTCTTGTTGTTTATGGTGTTGAGTCATTGAGTAAGACGATGTTGTCCTTTTCAAGTAATGTTTCGATTTTCTTACCTCTGGGATCTGTTTTAATAGATCGCTATATACGACTGTGAGCGTTGAAATCGCCTAAAAAAATGAAAGGTGTAGGAAGTTGTTGGATGATGTGTTCTATATATATTTTTCTGAATTTTTTTTGATTTGGGAGGTATATATTGCATATTGTGATTTTTTCTTTCATTTCAATTTGTACCGTTAAGACTTCTAGATCACTGAGGATGTTTAAAGTATGACTTGGTATAAACGCTTTGACATAAATGGAAGTGCCTCCACTAGCTCTGCCTACTTCTAGACGGTTTTTGCTGTAACCTTTATAATTTTTAAGGGGAGCTATGTAATTTTCTTTGAAGTTTGATTCCTGGAGGCATATAATTTGTGGATTATGGTCTTGTATTATTAGTTCAAGTTCATCTTTTTTTTTTGAAAACCCTTTATGTTCCATTGGATAATAGTAGGGTCTGTGTAAGCCATGTTAGTTTTTTTTTTTTTTTTTTAATATATTGCGATGTATATATATATACTTGTATTTATGAAATTTGCTATTTATATATTGTATGTTATATATTTTTACTACTGTAGTTAGAGTTGATCCTCTGATGGGTTACGCTCGACTAATGCTTTATTTAGTCTGGTGAGCCTGTTTTTGATACTGACGTTTTTGATAGACGGGTAGATGGAGTCAATAATTTCGATCATTTCTAAGGGTGAAATGTCGAGTTGGTTGAGTATGCTGGCGGGATTTTGCACGCCAAGCGTGTTTTCTATAATGTACTTGAGCTGGGAGAAGTTTATTTTAAGGTTAGGTATTTGATTGAAGACGGATTTGGCAGGTGCAAGTGTTTCATCTAGCTTAATAACAATTTGATCTATAGAATTTGAGTGTTTGGGTTTTTTTGGTGTAGGTTGAGGAGTTTTATTAAATTTATTTGAATTTAGAAGTTTGGTTGTGAGTGTGTCATTGTTAGTTTGATGACTTTGTATTGACCTCAGAGCCGGTGAAATTATTTCAGTATTACTCAGTTTGTGGTCGGGGCTGCTGTTTAACGAATCGGATGAGGCTGGTCTTTTGCCATGGTCGACAGTAGGTTCCTGGCTATGGTGGGTCGTAATAGGTATTTGTTGGGCGATAGTTTCAATATCAATTTTAGAGTTAATAGTGGCGACCGGAACGATTGGTATATTAGGTACTATGTGTGTGTGGTTGTCTGTAGCGTAATCTATGGTGGCAGGAGGTGGGATGTTGTTAAGGCTGTATGGTGTTTTATTTTCAATAACGATTTTGCAATGATTAGTGGTGTGACCCATTTGTTTACAAAGATAACATGTTACTGTGTCATCTGAGAAAAATATCCAATAATCGGTATGGTCAAATTTGATTAGTATTGAACTCGGCATTTTTTCGTTATCTTCCGGGTGTATATATAGTTGTCGACGAAAACTACCTATATGATCATACTCCTCATTGCCGAAATCGGCTTCCATAAAAGTAATCGGAGAAAGAATTCTAATCGGGATATTGGTAATTGCATTAGTGATTATATCATGAGGTATAATGGGTTGAACGTTGGATATAATTATTCTTTTCGCCGGGTTGATAAGACGGCGATACGTTATTTTTTAATTATTTATAACAATGTAAGATTGTTTGGTAATAATTTGATCGACAATGTTCTTGCTAGCAAAATATATGCAAAACCTGTTGTTGGATATGCGCGATGCGAATTTAATATTTTTTGGAGAAGTTATTAGACTGAATGCTTTTATGTACTCAATTTGGGGGACATCTTCAATTGTGTTAAATACTATAGCTTGATCTTTCTTTGGGAATAGTGAGTTTGCGGTTGTTTCTGCGAATGTTTTGAGAACGTTAGATTTAGGTTGTGGGTTTGTTGAGATGGGATTATTTAGGTCGAGGGTATCCATGATGTTGGACATATCGGCCAGGTACCTATACTATGGTTGTGGGGGGACGAAGTAAAAATAACATACTTTCTTAATTGCGATGATAATACTGCTATCGGAAACTATAAAATGCGTTAGTAGATGGAACCGAGAATACACGTGTGTCGCGGTCGGTTGCTCAACACGTACTGATATTTGTTATTTTTTTGTCATTTACATGTATTTAATTTATTTAATGATCTTAGTAGACAAAAATTAGATATATATATGTAGGTTTACAAATTATTTATAGATTTTGTAGTAATAAATTTATATATATATACTTATAACCTATTTTTAATATGCTCATAAATAATATATATGATCGATATAAGATCGGTAAACTCTAACTGGAAGTTAAAGGCATTTAACATGTTTTTTATTTAGTAGTAGTAGTAATAAGCTACGTGAAAATTGTTCAAGTATAAAAAAAGCTTGAAGAATCAACAAATACCGTGAAATAAAAAAATAAAAAACATATATCTCAATACGCTATTTATTTTATTTTAAAAATAATCAATAACTTAGTACTTTTTTTTAATCGCTTTTCAAAATTTTACACTCATGTGCGATGTATGTCCGTACTTTTTTTTTTGCTTTACGCGCCTTGAAGGCGTTTAGCAGCTTCTACTGAGTCTCTCCAACTATTCCGGGTCGTGGTCTTCCTTGTGGTTGCTTTCGAGATGTGTTATTGACCGAATCGTGCTTGGTCCATCAGACAGGTCCAGTCCATTCTATTCTTTTGGATAATAGGAAAATTTGAATACTTGGCCTGTTAAATAGGCTTCCAATGTTTGCATTCTTCTTCACTCGTATTTTCTATTATTTTGGTTTCGTATAGGTCCATCGATTTTCCTCAGAGTCTTTGTTTTGAATCTCAATAGTTTATCTTCGTAACCTTTTGTTATTGACCATATTTGACAGCCATACATGATGATTAGATGAAGGTTAGTAGTATACAGTTTTATTTCGGATTCTTTTGATATTTATTTTTACTTGAAATTATTATTATTAAACTTATTTTTAGCAAAATAACTTTAATTTTTTGCCGCTATTCTCAGATTTATTTCATTGTGCATGTTATTGTTAGCATTTATATTCACACCCAGGTAATTAAAGTTCACCATCTGCTCAAAAGTGTATTGACCTATATTGAGTTTTTCTGTGTTGGTTAAACTTTTGGTCATGATTAATCAACAAAACAAAATATATGAAGTTCTGGTCATGATTATGTAATCTGTTTTATCTTCAATTGTTTTCAGTCCTAGTCTTTGGCTAGTTTCTATTAGTTTAAGTGTACTTGAGATCATCTGGTATTGAAATTCTTCCAAGATAACAATATCACTCGCATATGCAAGTAGGTTACTGTTCCAAAACTAGTTCCATGGACCTGTTATCACTCATATTTCTTACCACTTGTTCTAATGTCAAGTTAAATAATACTGGAACCAATGTGTTTCCATGTCTTAGTCCTATTTTTACTTTAAAATATTTGGGCATTTCTTCTAAATAACGCACTTAACACATCGAATTTTCATTAAAGCTTTTTATTAATCTCACAAGTTGTGAGGGGATTCCAAAACTGGTTAGTGTCACCCAAAGTTGATCCCTGTTAATGTAGTTATATGCTTAAAATCAATAAATATCAAGCTGATTCCTCCATAGTTTTCTACTCTTGATGGGTCACTTTTTGAATAAATAATAATTTATTATATTTGTGGACAGCCGTTAATAAATATACATTTTCACTTTTTTCAGTAATTATAAAATATACATAGTATAATATATACTACATATATATAAAATATATATAGTATAAAATAGAGAATTCACCCTCAGGCGCAGGAGCAGGAGCAAGGAGTCCAGAAGCCCAGGAGCTATACCTAATACATGGCCACCCGAATTGTCCACCTCTTCATCGACTTATATTTCCCCCCCCCCTTTTTCCAAAAATATTTTTTTTTTCAAAATAATTATTTCCTACATCACCATCGGCTATTTAGACGGAATATTTTCTATCCACTCCTTTTTTAAAAAAATATTTTTATTTTATGTACTTGCGTACTTTATGAAATTGTGCCGTAATTTTTGTAATAAATCGTGAAGCACATAATGGTAATTTGACGAAAGAGTTGGAAATCGTGTCGTCGCATAAAATTCTAATAATATTATCATAGGCGCAACTAGACTACCAACTTTAGGTCCTAAAATTATTGACACATCAAAAACCTATGGGGGCTATAACTCAACAATCCTTTTTACATGATTCTAAAAATAAGCAACTATACATTCCATTCACAATTTTGTACATAGACATTTATCATAACTATTTTCACATTATTTTTCATATACACATGAATTATCTGTAGAAAAATTATATTTGGTTCAGCTCATTAATTATGAAATATATAGATAACATATTTAGTCATTACTATCAAAAAGCTTAATGGGTTATTTTTAGGGGTTCTAATTTTAAAATTAAGGGGTGTTAAAGACTCCCTAGCCCCCCCTAGTTTGATATCATCGCGATTATATTTGGCGATTTTCTATTGTATGTTATATTTTCACTATAATATTAAAATAGATTTTTGCCGGCCACCATAAGAATCACCGATCAATCGCCAAGCGTACTTACCTCGGGTGGTAACGTTTTACGATCGCTTACCGTTTTTTGCCTGTATCCGAATATAGATCATATATATGGGTCTATTAGTATAAGGTGATGTCATATTTTACTAATATATCGTTTAATATTCCAAAAATGATAATTATAGTTACAAAAAAAAATAAGTGCTATAAAATTTGACGATACATGTGATAATAAAAATTACGTTCATAAAAGTACCTACAACCCACCCTTTAACCAACTGTATTTATTCACTATTCGACGTCTCATTTATATTATATTATCTGTATACACGTGCAGTTTTCATTTTCAGGGTTCTTAATGTTCCAACTATCGACTTTTAGCATTACTTTTTATTTTATAATTAAAATGGAACATAATGGATATAAATATAAAAATAATGAGGAAAAAAAGGAGTTGCGTAAGTACCTATACTATGTATAAATATTATATTTCGAATTTTGCATTTATAAAACTATACTTCAAATTGAAAAATTAGATTTTTTCTACATAATTTTTTACTCAAAATTAGATATAAAAATTACCTCATAAGAAAAATACTACATTAAATCCATTTTTTTTTCATCACAAAGTATGACTCCTAATGAACTTCCTGTTAAACTTTCAAGCGTAACTGTTGTCTAACAAATTTACCACAGTGTACCTACCAAATAAAAATTACATACGAAACTTGCAAAATTAATGTATATAAACAGTTCAAAAATGGGTTAAATTTTTTGAAAATTTTACCACGTCTAGAAAAGGCAAATATAAATTTTCTGTTCAAATTTTAAGTCCATAGTGTCGATACAAATATTTTTAACTGAATTTCAACAAAAATATTAAAATTTTTATAAACAGCTCAAATGTTTAAAAATTTTTACCATATTTAGAAAAAGGAAATATAAGTTTTCTGTCCAAATTTCAAATCTCTATAAATATTTTTAGCTGGCTTACAATAAATAACAAAATTGAAATAATAATAAAGGTATTATTTTTTTAAATTATCCGTTTTCTTACGTTTTATCCGGGTTTTTCTCAGATATTATGAAAACCGCTTAGAAAATCAAAAATGAGCTCTTAAAAGTACCATCTGGACAAAATTTCCTTTCAGAAATGATGCTGCGTGTACATATCGGAATAAGGTTTCTGGTAGAATTTTTGTGCATAGAATAAAAAAAAATAAAAAAAAATAAATATCTTAATAAAATTAATATATTCTTCGCTACACTGAGAATCTAAAATTCGATTTTCATAAATATAACAAAATATAAACACAATGTATAAAATTACATATTTGTATAACATGTAATATACAATCAACTAAAATTAACTTTAGTAGTGTTTCCTATGGCCACCAGTATATAAACACGTGAAGATCGTAAATAATTCTTGGAAATATTATTAATTAAAAAACAGTCGTTATTTCTAGTAGATTTAATATTTATTCGAAAATTTAACAAATAAGGACAATCTATGAATTTATTTAATAATTTCGATAAAAATGTATAGTGAAAGTAATCTTTTCTTTTGTTAAGTGATTCTAAATTAAAATATAATAAGATAACCATTATACTCAGTTTGTCGTGGGCGTTCAATTTTAAATTTAAATGCTAGAAAGCGGAGAAAACAATTTTGAACTACTTCGAAATTTTCAGTCGTACAAATTTTATCTGAGAACCAAATAAGAGAGGTATATTTTAACTGTGATCTTACAAATGCGTAATATGCATTTCGAAAGTATTGTATTTATTAGAATTAGAATATGTACGTGCAATAAAACCTAAATATAAGAAAGCTTTATTTGTTATTTTCTCAATATGACCGTTGAAATATAGCTTAGAGTCAAAAATAATACCCAAGTCGACAAATGATCTGACTCTATAGAGATATTATTTAGTTCATAATCTTAATTAATACTAGTTTGTTTGATATTAAAAGTTAATATTTTGCATTTGTTGATGTTAAAACATAACCTATTTAAATTACACGAATTATTAAAATTTGTTAAGTCTTCATGTAAATAAATGCGATCTTGGATTGAATCTATTTTTAAATATTTTGACATCATCAGCAAACAATAGAATATCAGAGTGTTTTATAATCGATTTAGTATTATTCATAAACAATAAAAACATAGTTGGTGAAATGTGATCACCTTGTGGGACACCAGAAATAACATGGATAGGTTCTGATAGATAATATTTTAATTTCACGATTTAAACTCTATTAGTTAAAAAAGTCAAGATAATAATTGAGAGAAAATCCAAAACATTTCAGCATAATTATAAGTAATGAATGGTCAACACTATCAAATACTTTTTCAAAATCTGTAAAACAGTATCCATTTGAGAACCAGTTGAAAAAGATAATAATTTTGTGTTTTTTTTTTAGCCGAATTCGTTGTAGTAAATTATCCTTTTCGAAAGTCATGTTGAACATTTGATAAGAAACTATTTATGATATGGTACATTGATTTATTCATTAAATTCAAAAATATTGTAGATGGAAACCGTCATAAGGCATGTACTGTGGTATGGCTCGCCATACAAATTGTTACCTATAACAAACAAAACCGAATTTATTAGTATTTGTAAAATATTTTTTTTTTTTTTAAATATGTATACTTACATTCTTAATATATAATACACGAGTCGTCTTTAGTTTTGTCGTAGTAATTATTCCCCTTACTATACCGCATACTCGCTGGTACTAGTCCACCAAATATACCAAATACCATACCACATTTTTTTCAAATATCAGCAGCATATCGTAGTCGGAAAGAAGTTCCAGTCTGGTCCTCGTATATTTCAACAAACAATTGAAACTGAATCCGGGTGCTGTGAAGTAGTAGGACGGACGTTAGGTAATTTATTTTTAGAAAATTATACTATGTCACATACTTTGATTGACTGTGAGTTAAACGTGATGTTTAAGTTGATGTTTTTCTTTGACTCATTTTTTTTAAATTATTTTTTTCATATATAAACCAGGACAAAAACGCGCATTGTTGTAATTATTTTACCATAATATAACATATTTATTGTTTAAAAAACAACACTTTTAACTGAACTTAGCTCAGAATCGTAGTAATATTAAATAACATAATACCTTAAATAATCAAGTTTAACACCTTTTCTGAAAGGAAATGTTCTTTGGGTGGTAATTTAGAAAGGTTATTTTTTGAAATTCCTATTAATATTTGAGAAAATGAGGAAAACCTGGTTATTTAGGTTAAAAAAGATTGAATGATTAAAAATAAGGTCATTGGCAACTGTTTTTATTTATTATTGTTATTATTAAATTTTTATTATTTTTTTAAACAATTATTGTTGTCAAACGTACATTGTAATCATTTTACTATAATATGATATATATATTGTTTATAAAGCAACAAAATCAACTGAACTTCGCTCAGAATGGTTTTTTTGTTAGCAATGATTTATCGTTGCTTACAGATATGCATTAAATTCTCGTCTGTATCCTACCTTCCCAACTTCCCAACTACAACAGTGGCTGTGCTCACTTGAAGTATATGTAAGTGTGGTAGTATATGGGCCATATGGGGAATAATTCGGACAGTTCTGCTGTTGCCGACTAAAATGTAAAGTTCAAATTTTAACGAAAATCGTAAGAACGGTCAAATGTTTATGCAAATAGCCAGCTCGAAAGTTAAGTTTTACATTTCGTAAAAAAAAAAAATATGAAGACAGTTTTGGTAAAAATACTTTATGGGTGAACATAGTATATTGAACTTGAATACTTTTTTTTTTTTAAGTCAGAGTGTTCATCGTGGGCTATTCACAAATTATTTCGAAAACTAAGTATTTTAGAATTTTAAATATTTTTGAAATATGAATTAAACATTTACGAGTATTATACGTAGGTACTCGTATTTCATTATGGACGAACCTAGACAACAGTCGTGGTGAAATTTCATTACAAAGGGCGATGATGAAATAATTTCTACTAAAAATGTTAATTTTATTATGGACATTAGTACATTAAAATGCAAATGTCTAGATTATATATTTAGCTTGAAGGAAGGTTAAGATTTTAATTCTTTCCTCGTTGAATTATATTATCTATGATGTTAAATGATAATATTCCAGCTTAGAACCGAACGTCAAAGCAATATTTTTCGGGCCACCATAATTGCGGTCCATAAAAAATGTATAGGTACACGAAATGCGTCCCACCATATTTATTTATTAGTAATATACGGAGAAAAACTCCATTTACAATATGTGAAAAAATATGACATTAATAAAAAGCATTTTGATAAATTCAAATATGATCAATAATGTATGTGCAATATGATTATAAAGTATGTATAAATTATGTAAAATTATAAATAAAGTGTTTCAAAATTAATTGGTAAATAAGGTATAAAATAAAACAAAATACAAAAACTTAACCTAACCGTCCAAAGATAATTATAACGGGTGCAGCCACTGTTATAGGTAATTTAATGTATATTTGTAAGTAACGATTGCTAAAGAAAAAACGATTCTGAGCGCATTCAGTTGATAGTGGTGCTTTGTCAACAATACATATGTTATATTATGATAGAATAATTAAATAGGCATTATACATTTTCTTTAATAATATTTGTTTAATATTGTACCGATTTTCCCGTTTCTCCTGTGTTTATTCAGAATTCTCCATGTTTTTACCCGGGTTTTCATATTGTCTAGGAAAATTCTTAAGAAAATCGAAAAATGGCTTCCCTAAATTACCTTCGTGGTTAGATTTACTTTCAGAAAAAGTGCTATCATTGTAAATCGGAGTTAAATTACTGATAGAAAAGTTGTCTGCAGAAAAAAAAATCACAATATTTTCCTAATTTATTTTGTACATTTACCCGTTTTTCACGATTTTTCTCATTTATTGGGATAACTCTTGGGAAAATCAAAAAATGACCTTGTCAAATTACCATGGAGATAAAATTTCCTTTTAGAAAATAAGCTACACTTGATACATCGGAGCAAGATTTTTGATAGAAAGTTTGCACAATAAATCGAGGGGTATTTTCCGATTAAAGAGTCCAAGCTAGCGAGGGCTTGGATCTCTAGCTACACCCAAAATGCATTTATATTTTTATTGTTTTGGAAAAGAAAAAACATTTTTTTAAAAAACAATTAATTTTGTTCGAAACCTGGGTTTTGAACTTGGGAACCCTAGGATGATAATAGGCATGTATAACCATTAGATCACGACAAATAACCATTAAGGTAAACAATATAGAGTTATTTAAGATAACATATAATATACACATAAATCAAAACTCCAAAAAGTTATAATTTTGAAACTTAGTTAGTCCGCTCAATTCTGACTTCACCATCGTTCTTTAATTGGCAATATACATATGTTCAGAAAAAAAATATTGAAAAATTAGATTTGTTCCACATCATTTTTTACTCTAACGATTAGAATTTAAAAATAATAATTCAATACATTTGCTGATCACTCAATTAATACAAATAAAATTATCTAAAGTCTGAAGTTAAAGAGTCGTTATTAGAATAATTCAAAATATTTATAGTAAAAAAATATATAAATAAAAAATGTATATATAAAAATAAAAAAACCACTTTTGTGGGTGAGAAATTGGGATGGTAAGATATACAAAGTTATTTTATTTGTATCTGTAAGCAACGATAAATCATTGCTGACGAAAGACGATCCTGAGCGCAGTACGGTAATACATATCTTGAAGTGCCGTAATTTCTTTTGCGATTTTCGTTTAATTTCAAAACGCTTATTAAAAAAAAAAAAACATCGTTCGATGATTTTGGAAATTTTAACACGTCTAGGTAAGTCCGATATAAGTATTATTACCAAGTTATTACCCAAAAATTAAAATTTTTTAAAAGCTTTAAAATAGTTCAACAGTTTTGAAATAATACCGTAAGAAATTAAATCAAAAAGGCAACAAAAAATGTATCTTGTAATTTTTCGATTAAATCGTTTTCTTTGGCATAAAACGTCCGTGTTTTTATAAAATAATGAAATCGTAAAATTGTACGTTTTTCTACGTTTTTTTTCCACTTGAGTGCTTCTATTTAAAAAATTCCGTTGAAAATTAAAAAATGACAAAGTACAATTTAGATAACTTGAGCTTTCAGAAAAGATGCTACACGTAAAAAAATGGAGCAAGTTTACTAGGAAAAAACATGTCCACAAACTAGAAGAATAAGAAGAAGAAGAAAAAAACATCTTAGTAAAACCAATAGCTCTTTCGCTATGGAATCTAAAATTAAATGATAGAATACTTAGAAAAAAATATGTAACGGCTCGGATTTTATTACTCCTAAATAATTATTATGTTAATAATATTGATGTATTTTGTAATAAGTTCAATGCCAAAGTTAACAGTCATTTAATTATGGACTCCAATCACACAACAATCGCGTAGCGCCGCAACCGACCGGTCGTGTGTCGATAACGGATGATTGTGTGCACGTAAAGTTTTCGACGCGTATAAAAAAAAAAAAAAAGTACCTATAAATTATGTAATGATCATAACGGAATAATATTATACTAATTATTTCGTTATGATGATAACCCTCTGCCTCGCGAGCATACAACACCATTATCGTTGTCGTCCGCCGGGTGGTGGCCCACTTAGCGGGTACCCAGCTGTCCCGCCACTTCGTTTCCAGTGTGGTCCTATCGCCAATTATTGAAAGCCCCTCAATAATTATACGCTGAACATCTCCCCGCTTTCAACCCGTCAGTTCCCATGGTTAACACCAGGACAACTACCGTTCTTTTTTTTTTATTCTGCTGTGCTCGCTATCCGACGAATGTCTTTTTGGTCGGATTGATGAATGCGGTCATCGTATATTTTAACCGTCGTCATTAAACCACAGTAATAATGGCGGCTTAAAGTACACGACGGGCCCGGGACGACCGAAAACCATCAATGGCAAACGAAAACAACAGCGGGGAGTAATATATCAGGCCCAAAAATATTTATTTTTCTATTTTCCTTTCACCAATAACTCTTGCTTAATTTATACTGTTACGGTGGCCATGATTTTTTGAAATTTAATTTTTGTCAATAATATAAAAAAATTTTCAAAAAAACAATATTAACAAAATTAAACTGTTTTACTATATAAGACCCCGAAAACTAGGTATCTAATAAACAAAAATCTATAAGCTCTGTTAATCAAGTTCGGCTCGTAGGTCATTAGTCAGTGTTCCCCCAACTAGTGGGTACTCGAAATGGCGTGTTAAAGGACGTGGAGGATTATAAATTATACAAATATTGGTCCTTTTACATAGAAATAATTTATTTTAATAAGATAGATTATTTAAAATGGGTTATTTCGTATTAGACATACATATGTTAAGAAATATAAATTATTTGGTTATTATTTATTATCTAAAATGTATTGATATTAAAAATGTTTTTTTTTTTTTTAATCTGTTAACAACTTTCCAAACTTACCAGAAAACTTGCTCAGATTTCTAAGTGTGGAAATTTTTCTAAAAGGAAATCGTTGTGGAAGGTTCTTTAGGGAGGTCATTTTTTTTCGATTTTCTTAAGTGTTTTCCCAGCAAATGTGAAAAACCAGAAAAAACGTAGAAAAACTGGGAAAATCGGTACAACATAAAACCTATTTAATTACCACTTCTATAAAATGACATGTATATATATATTGTTGACAAAGCATCACAATCAACTGAACTCCACTCAGAATCGTATTTTCATAAGTTAAGGTTTATTGTAGCTTATAGGTATACTTTAAATTATCTATACCAGTGGCTGCACCCGTCTCCATTATCCTAGGACGTCTTTTTTTTCTTATAACACAATCCCGTGATTTCTTTATTTATTTACCTCTTTACCGTGATATTTCAAGTTCATCTAATTAATTAAAAACAAGATAAGTTGGTTCTTTTGATAAAGATAACAATACAAATTAAATTACATGAGTCTATATGATTTGTTTAATATTTGTTATGATAAGAGTACCTAATGTTATAACGATAATTTTATAATGACAAGAATTTTTAGATCTTGAATCGCCGTGCGGTGAAATGTATGTGCCTTGTCAATCTAAACGTTATAAATTCCATGTACTTTAATACCTATAAATTGAATATATTGTGATTATTATTTATATTAAATCTAAAAATAAATATTATATTCAAACCGTTATCGTAATGGAAATGTTATATTGCCACGTCATCAGATCGGTAAAACATCGGAATATAATATATATATACAGAGTGTATCAGAAAAGACTGGCCAACTCTACGGATTGTGACTCTATATGTGGCTATAAGAATTGGTTTTTTGGAATTTTTATTTTCTTATCAAAAATTTGATTTTACCAATTTAACCAAATAATTTGGTTTTTATTTGTAAAATACACATACAAAATAAAAATAAACTATTCTAGAGATTTTATCGCAAAATTCTCTTACGAAATAAGGGGTCACTCGATTTTTTTCAAAAATAATCATTATCACCGCTATTTTTGGCTTATCATGTCCAAAATCGTAATTTTTTGTGACACATGAATTTGTATGTAAATTTGTTAGGGGTTTCAACGGAATAAATTATTTTTTATTTATGCGTCAATTTAACGATCATATACGTAAATTACGACTCATTTGACTGTAACAAACATTAAAAAAATGCATAAATTCAGTTGTTTTTATTGAATTGTTTTATAATTAGTTATTATCAGATAATAAAGAAATAATATTTAAAGTAAATGTTCAATATGACCTCCGTGTACTTCAATACATTTTAAAAGTCGTTCATGGAATAACCTTCAAACATTTTCGATGACACAGAATGCCATTATGTCAATAATACTACTAACATAATAATCTTATAAAATTTATATTATGATCTAGTGATGCTATCGTATCCATTATTAAATTTGTGTATGATAAAGTAGTAACTTTATCATTGTTATTATTGATTGTTATTTTTATTGTATTGATTATGGTATGTAAGCTTGTAACTCCACGCTGAACACGTATCAGTTAGTGTAGTACGTCGATAAATTACTGGTGAGTTTAATATTTTTTTTTTTTAATTTTGTAGTTAATATTAATTAATGCTATAATTATTAATTAATAATATTGTACACATTTGTTGAATACGCTGATATGGTTTTTATTTAGGTAAGGTTTTTCTTGTAATAAAAAATGTTATGTTATTCTGAATACGTACATCTAATTATGAGGTAATGTTAATGGTATTGGTGCTCAGGCAGTTCGATTATGAGCTGATCGGTTTCCATACCGTCAGCAACTTAATCGAAATCCTTTACCGATGTTTTTCGTAGATTAAGAGAAATAGGTATGGTTTTTTTTTTTTTTAATTATCCAAATAATAATAAAGTTTTAATATTTAATTTACAGTCAAATGAGTCGTATTTTACGGATAGGATCGTTAAATTGACGCTTAAATAAAAAATAATTTATTCCATTGAAATCCCTGACAAATTTACATACAAATTCACGTGTCACACAAAAATTACGATTTTGGACATGATAAGCCAAAAATAGCGGTGAACCAAAGTTTTGATAAGAAAATAAAAATTCCAAAAAACCAATTATTATAGCCACATATAGATTCACAATCCGTAAAGTTGGCCAGTCTTTTCCGATACACCCTGTATATATATATATATAATATAAATAACTATATTGTTATATATATTTTTCGACCAAATGCGGTTCAGACAAAACACTAGATAGGTTAAGTTAGGCATAAAAGCGATTGGCATAAAATAATTATAATATATAATACGCTATTAGATAAGATGATAGAATAGATACCTACCTACCTACTCAAATACTCATTGCTCTTGCATTACAAGTATTGTTTTGAAACATGCATCTTTCGGATTTATTACTGGTTGCCAACTAATGATTTGTTGGATTTTGTTAAATTTATTGGTTGTGAAACTTAATACAACAAATATTCTATCATAAAAAATACCGCCTCAGTTTCATTGAATATGTTTCTACCCTTAGGTAATGGCCTAACCTGCTTGTGCCCTAGGGACGGGGCTGTAGCAATGTTTCTTAAAGAAAATTTAACTAGGGAGGTTCTTTAAATGGATCATTTTTCGATTTTCCCAAGAGTTTTCCCAGCAAATGTGAAAAACCGGGATAAAACATGGGAGAACCGGGAAATACGTAGGAAAACTGGAAAACTCGATACAACATGAAACAAATATTATTTTAGAAAATACATAAAGCCTATTTAATTATTTTACTATAAAATAACATATATATTGTTGACAAAGTATCACTATCACTTAACTCCGGTCAGAATCATTTTTTCATAAGCCATGGTTTATTTTTGATTTCAGGTATACATTAAATTATAACATAATCTATAACAGTGGCTGTACCCATCCCCATTATCCTAGGACGTCTTTTTTTTCTTATAACACAATCCCGTGATTTCTTTATTTATTTACCTCTTTACCGTGATATTTCAAGTTCATCTAATTAATTAAAAACAAGATAAGTTGGTTCTTTTGATAAAGATAACAATACAAATTAAATTACATGAGTCTATATGATTTGTTTAATATTTGTTATGATAAGAGTATCTAATATTATAACGATAATTTCATAATGACAAGATTATTTTGATAAATGACCACACACAATAACTGGTGGTAAATACACAGTATTAAACATATTTTTTTTAATATCTATGGGTAAATATAGCAGTATAGTCAGTCTAGTTAAAACTGTTTAAACGCTGCGCGTTGATAAAGTTCAATTATAAGTTGTATTAATTTCGAGCACTGTTCTATACTTTATATTTTTACAGTGTTAAAATTTACAAGTTAATAGCTAGGAATGGAGAATTAATTAGATATAATAAAATTTGAAAAGGACAACGTATACCTAACGTTATATAACATTTTAATAATTATAAAATATTTTTTAACTTCTATTAGTTTTATGTACTAAGGGAAAGATTATATTAAATTGAATATTATTTTACATTATATTTATTTTTTGTAATGACAGCTCACTATATGAGAGAACTATTTTTATTTTACATTATTTTTTCATAATAAACGTTAAACCGCACCGTTTATAATAAATTTGACAATGTTGCACCCTATTCCTATTGTATTTAAATGAACAATAGAGCGTGCGGAATCGTGTTAAAAAAAAACAATAAAAACGTACGGAATCCTATTCCTCCCAATACGTCAGTTCTGCAAAGACGTTCAACAACGGTCTCACTCGTCTTCTCGTCTGCACTTGTTCAGCCGGAAAGTTGCAATTTTCAGAAAATTGATGAGGCCAGTCACAATATTTTAATGTCGCCAATCTATACAAAAATGTTTTAAATTGTTGTACAGTTTATTTATAACTGCCAACCGATTTCTCCTAAAGTATCATAGTACCATAGTTTAGTATTTCGTGTTTTTCCATAATCGTATTTTCGGGATAACCGATGAGTACTTAGTTCCAATATGTATATGCTTTACATCAATAAATTATAATGTTACGGACTCTGTCTTTCATGTGTTTAAGTTTGTTAAATATAAATTAATAATTCTACGTGACTAAATATGAAATCGGTCGACACATTATGTGTACGTACGTAAAGGCCATTAATACGAGTGTGGTAAACCGACGACATTCCCATGCAACAAAGGATGATACTTGTTGATGGACCAAAGGGAAAACGTATCCGGGTCGGTGCATAGCGCTAAGTATTTGTGTGCCCCAGTGAAAAAAATCGAAAGATATATCTATAACTATAATCTTAATAAAAATAAAACGTCAAATTATATTTTTGCTTTGTAAAAAAAAAAAAAAAATTATAATAATAATAAAATTGTTAAAATCAAAATTATATTTATCGTAAGTTATAAATAAGTAGTATTAATTTGAATAAAGTAATTTTAAAATCAGTGTTAGGTATTACATTTTTATCCCTTGCTTTTTTGTTTGCAAAATTGATAAATTGATATGATCGATGATTAATTCTGCAGCGTTCTCTTTCTATACTTGAAACTGAAATATTATTGAATTTTTCTTGAGATATAGTATTTCTTAAAAAATTGTTGACAATTTTTAATTTGGAAAAGTCCGTTCTGAGTGATAAGTATTGATCCCCAGTGAGAGTGCTTAACGTTACAGTTTCCACCGACAATGAATCGGTCTCCTAGTTTTTGTAAAAACGTAATGAATTTAATTTCATCTACACCACCTCGAGGTGGACAATAAATAGCCGTAACTGTGAGGTCATTGTTCCCGTCTTTAAAACGAACACTAATAGCTTGTATATGTAGTTCCGAGTATTTCTCAATTTCAAAGTGCTTTATAATGTCTTTTATAATTTAAGTCGTGCTCCCTCGTTCTTTAAAACTTGGATGTAGAGTGGTGTAGATGTTATAATTTTTTATATTTAGAATAGTTCACGCTCTAAAGTGTATTTCTGAGATGACAGTAATGTCAATATTTTCTAGATGCAAAGGTCTTCGAATTTTTGCTTACGCTGTACTAGCCCGTTGGCGTTCTATGCTATAATCTGCAATATGCAGTTCATTTTTATTTCTTTTAATTTTTGTTATTAGTCTTGGATTGATTACTTTCTAACCTATCCAGTCTAAATGTAACACTTTCTATTGATTTTGTTATATTATTTAATGTGGTTAAAATTTCCACTAAAGTGGAATCATTTTTGTTGGACTGCTGTTGCAAAAACGTATTGGACATTTTGTCTGTGGTATTTGAAGAACCAGTCATCTGAGCATAAGAGATTTCCGCAGTGGCTTTTTTTACTGGATTCGTGTGTTCACTAAATGAAGATATACATGTGTATGATTAATTTTTGTACGGGTATTATTAATTTGCTGAATCACTTATCACATACAATAGACTCTCGTTAATCTGAACGGGATAGGGGAATGGGGTCGGTTGAATTACCGAAGACTAGTTAACTAATATTAAAACCAATATTCCTGAAATTTAAAATTAAAGATCAATTTTTAAATTTATTATTATAGTACAAATTTAAAATTTAAATATAATTTAACACTGGTGCCTATAAGTTGATCAAAATGCCCTTAAGTCCGTTCAGATTACTGTGTATTTCGGATTAGCCTGTTAAGATAAATGAGAGTCTAATGTATATTAAAACACATTTCTTTCACTAGTATCCCTTGTTTAAGAATAAAATAAAATAGTGTTATAGCAATTAAAGGTACTTTTACCTATAATGCTCTTCACTTTTTCTAAACCCATCGTAGTCTTGCACAACAAATCGAGGGTTATTATCGATTATAATTGTCCGAGTGAGCACAGCGAGTAAACCTCGGGTCTATAATTCCACCTATAATGCTATTTCAATTTTCCCTGATACTTAAATGATGTGGTTTTGCACAAGAACGGTTATCACGAATACATCATTTGAAACAATTTGTTTGCGTTATTGGTGTGATTACATTTTTAATTCAACTTTCTTAGCGTTGGGGTTCGTGCAGACCGATATGGCTACGATTTCTTATCACTTTTTCTGAAAAATGTATACTACCCTCATTCAGCAACCATGTGATAAATATTATAAAATCGTTAAATGGAGTATTAGTTAATCAGGTTTCCCCAATCGATCGCAGCGACGTTTGATACGAACCGTTCAGTCGCGTTACAACAGAGTTCTATGTATTCTGTTTTGCTGTCCAGAAAGGTCGTTTTTTTACCTCGGCTTGTTACCCAATACAATACAAGGCTAAAGCCGTTTGCTCCCACAGTGGCATACATCACCGATAGCGATAACAGTTTTGGTAAAATATAATCATGGTTAAATAATTGGCCGATACTCCCGTTAGTGATTTTAGTTTTAAAATGAAACATAAATAAATTATTATTGTTTTCTCTTTATGTACCTAGATAAAACTATCTATTCGTACCTTATACATTTCAGATTCTGGGTGTAGCGAAGCATGTATTGGTATTACTAAGATGTTTCTTTTTTAGATTCTAAGTGTAGGGAGGGAGCTATTGGTTTTAATAAGATGTTTATTTTTTTCTTTCTTTCTTTGTTCTACCCTGTGGACACGTTTTTTCTTAGTAAACTTGCTGCAATATATAAGTGTAGCACCTTTTCTGAAAGCTCAAGATGTCTAGATTGTACTTTGTATTTTTTAATTTTCAACGAAATTTTTAAAATGAAAGCACTCAAGTGAAAAAAAACCTAGACAAATGTACAATTTCACGATTTCATTATTTTATTAAAACACGGACGACGTTTTATACCAGAAAAAATGATTTAATCGAAAAATCACAAGAAACTTTTTTTGTTGCCTTTTTGATTTACTCTTTTACTGTATAACCGCTAAAAGTATTAAGCAACTTTTAAACTTTTAAGGAATTTTATTTTCGAGAGTTTTTTTACTGTAGTTCGGTTATAAATGCACTTTGAGACTTGAAACTTGGTAATAATCCTTATATTGGACTTCCTAAACGTGGTGAAATTTCGAAAATCATAGGACGACTTTTTTTTTAAAATAAGTGTTTTGAAATCAAATTTAAACGAAAATCGCAAAAAAAATTATGGCACTCTAAATTACGTATTACCGAACTGCGCTCGGAATCGTCTTTCTAGCAATGGTTTATCGTTGCTTACAGATATAAATGAAATAATCTTATGTATTCTACCTTCCGAACTTCCCACCTACAATAGTGGCTGCATTTGTCTCTAGTTTCAGCTATTTTTAGATTCTGAGTGGAGTGAAGAATGTATTGGTTTTACTAAGATGTTTATTTTTTTGCTTTTTTCTTTATTTTTTTTCATACCGCGTACAATAATTTGACTAGAAATCTTGCTCCGATATATACGCGCAGTAACATTTCTGAAAGGAAATTTTGTCCGGATGGTACTTTTAGTAGGTAATTTTTTGATTTTCCAAGCGGTTTTTATACTGTTTGGGAAAATCCAAGATAAATTGTCGGACAAATGGAAAATGCACAAAATATATTAGTAGAATATTACGATATTTTTTTTCTGTAGACAACTTTTTACAAGCCATTTCGCTTCGATTTATAACGATAACCCTTTTTCTAAAAGAGAATTTGATTGGAAAGGTACTTAAGAAAGGTCATTTTTCGATTTTTCCAGAAGTATTCTCAACAAATGTGAAAAACCGAAAAAAAACGGAGGTAAAACGGGAAAATGTACGAAATGTAATTATTAGTTGAAAAATATTTCGGCCTTCATTTTTCCTATGAACAATTTGCTACGAATAATTTTGGTCTGATTGACAATGATAACACTTTTTCTGAAAAGAAATCTGACTGGAAATGTACTTGAGGGAGATAATTTTTCGATTTTCCTAAGAGTTTTTCTACCAGATGTGAATAACCGGGAAAAAACATGGGGAAAATTAATATAATAATAAACAAATATTATTAAAGAAAATATATAATGTCTATTTAATTATTTTAACAAAATATAACATAATATATACTGTTGAAAAAGCATCACTATCAACTGAACTCCGGTCAGAATCATTTTTTCGTTAGCAATGGTTTATCGTTGCTTAAAGATATACATTTTCATTTTTTTACTTTTTCTGTCTTTATTCTATAGTAAAAGAAAAAGCAAAAGTAGAAATAAAGTATTAGTATAGTATAGGTGTAGTGGTACGGTGGAATAGTAATGCGGTGATGGGAATGCGAAGTCAACAGTCAAATATAATAGAATAATATAACATTATAGGTATATTGTAGATACTTATAATATATGGTGTGAAATGGTATTGTTACTGTGTACTACGCGTATAATACGTACAATAATAATATGTGTATATATCGCCCTATGTTTGTGTGTGTTTATTATAGGGTCATCGTCGTGACATATACATATATATATATACAAATATAAAAACGTATTATGTTTAACATTGACTGGCAACTACTTATTTATTTATTTGCCTCTACCTTTTTTTTAATTAATTTTCTACGAGAATATGGAAATAATCACTTACCTCTTTTTACTGTTTTAAAGTTCGGAAGAAATTCGTTGCTCAAAATAGGGATGCGTAGGTTTCGATGAATTGTTACAATAAACACAAGTAGGTTTTCTAGTTGTTTTGTCAGCAAGTCTACTATACCAATAGATATTTATGTGGTTATACTCAGACGTCGGGTCGCTAATAAGTGACGATTTGCAGGAGAATCATCCGTTTAGTGTAACGAATCGCTGGCTGACGTATTATTGTGTAGCTATTGTCCTTTAAAGTGCTTGCTACAATATGAAATCTACAGATAATTGTTAATCCTGAGTGACGACCAACGATTGCGATATTTTCAAGGACATCCAACACTAAATTTTTTTTTAATTTTAAGTTTATTATTGTAGTTAACATAATGAAAAACGTTTTGGTAAAAATCCGAAGTTAAAAAAATAATTATTCAACGAGATAATGTGAGTTGATTTTGAATATTCGCGTAACGTCATAGAACCGAAGACTGAGCAGCTGCTTATGTTTAATGTGTAAAAGTAGTTTGATTTACAAAATGATTTTAATAATTTAAAATAGTATTTCCGATTTTTTTTTTTTTCATAATTCTAAGTATATTGATGTGTTTAGAACAATGGTGTGATTTTAAATTTAATATATTTTATTGTTGCATAGGTACATATTATAAATTATAATTTAGTAAAATTACTGAGTTTGAAACTCGCGTCATATCACCGCGCAGCACATCGCAGTGGCACAAACTAAATTGTACGAAATTAACTATAATAGTTTTATCTACTTTAAAAACACTAGAAAGGATATTAAAATTATAATCACCCCAGTGTCATAAACACAAAAAAACACTTGAGGTTACAAAAGAAAAATTTAAAAAATATTATATTTAACAATTAAAATTACTTTGGTATATAAAACATACGCCGTCGTTCAGACTTCGGCTCTATGACGTCACACGCATATTATCAAATGTCTGTATCTCATTGAATAATTAGTTTTTAAGTGTGAGACCAACACCATATTTCTTAGATAATGACATACTTTAAATCGAAACAAACTTGTTTTTAGTGTTGTGGTGTCCTTTAAGTCAATGCTCAAGTCAGTCAAGTGTAATATATTTTATGTGTGTTTATAATGGGTTATAAGAGAAAAAATAATAGATAAATTTAAATGTATGATAGAAAACAAGGTGACAATAATTACAACTACCAGGTTTAAGGAGATGTGGATTAACCAAATACAGCATCCCGCCTTGGGTATCTGCAACTGCCGTATAGTTTTGGAAAGATTTAGGTATTAAGGATTTTAGATGAGCAAAAAAATAGTGCTTCCGCTGGGAGAACTCAGAGAAGTGAAGATTCGATGAAAAAGATTTACACGTTTTCCGTTTTATGCAATACGCGGATCCCACCCGGGTGGCCTCCATACGATCGCCGCAGTGGTTACGTGAGGCGCCAGTGTGTGGACAATGCACGTAATTAATTGTGAAATAATTTATGACGTATTTATGTGGCGATACTGATATTTTTAGTGATAGAACTGGTGATTGTAAATCACTTTGCTTGTTTATTTTACAAATATTGAATATTTTATGTATTACAAATTGCAACTAGGTTTTTGAACGATTACGTCCCCGTGGTCAACAAATAAGTTTTTTAAAAAAAATTACAAGAATTTATTACAAATTGCATGCTTGTTTTTGATATTGTGTCCCCATGATATTTACATGAGTTTTTTTTTTTTTTTACAAAAGAAAAAATTATACAATAAGAGAAGTTTATATGATTTTGTTATTTATTGTGTGTTGTTTGTATGAGTGGGATTGTTTTAATTTAAACGGTGTTGATACAATGATATTTGTTTAGTAAAAATTTAATAAATAAATAAATAGTTGTTAGTAGATTATAATATTTCTTAGTGGTATTATAAAATATTAGTTGATTATACCATTTTATAAATTAAATTAATATTTAAATGAGTATAGTATATAAGAATAGTAGTAGGTTAGGATATAATATCATACCTAGTACTAGTTATTGAATGATAACAATATTTGTTAAAATGTTTATATACTACTGATGTAGTATTTTTTATAAGTTGGAGTGATATAAAATCTGAATTTAAGAAATACCTATTTAATATAAAAATAGAAGTGGGTTAATATGGTAAATTAAAGTACATACAAATTTATTAAGAATAATAAAATAATTATATTTTTTTTTACTTTTCAATTAATTAATCTCGGTGGATTTTATTTGTTGTCAGTCTCTTCTTCTGTGATGCATTATCTTCTTCTCGGCCTGTTTGTTGCACATCTATGGTTGAATATATTGTTCTAAATATTTTTATATGGACATTGTATATACTTTATTTCCAGTTTATGCAAAAATTTATTTTGTTTGAGTTTTTGCCAAGTATGATCCATTGTATATTTGAGACGGAGATTTGAGAAAAAGACACAAACAAAACAACTTTTTTTTTTTCGATACAATGATTTTACAAAGACAAAGGTTGTGAAAAAAGTGTTTTGATGTTGATAGTAAGACAATATTTGACGTAGACGTAGTAGTTGATGTAATTAAATATTTGTGTAGTTATTGATAGATTTAATTATTGAACGTTTTTGTAAGTGAATATAATATGTTACAATATGTAATGTGTAATTATTAAACGTTTTATTTTTATCAATTCTAGATATATATGAATAATAAAATAATTTATAACTTAATAGCATAATATAACAATCATTTTTTTGATATTTTTTTTTTAGTATAATATGTCGATTAAAAGATATAGGTAGGCATATATTTTTTTACACAGTATAATAATATTAATATATATTTTTTCTTTTTTTTTGTTCAAGTTTTAAATAAAGATTTTTTTGTTTGTTATTTACACTTAATGATTAAATAATAAGATGAAACATTTAAAATTTTTGTGGGCAAGTATACTTAAACTAGTGAATAATTCGTATGCGTAATATAACACAGTATAATAAAATATAATATACGTAATCCGTAATATGTATGTTTTTAAAAGTTAAAGTCTAGTAGAAATTTGAGATTAGATATGTATATATATATATATATATATATATAATATATATGAACAGTTGTGATGTTTATTACAATTTTCATGTTAAATACCTATGTATACTTGTTGTGTTTGCATACGTACTTATATTATCTATATGTTGTTTTTTTTTCTCTTTTTTCCTTTGAGTGGTAGTTTCTATGTCTCGCGGCTTTTCTACTACATAACTTAACTTCTCGTTATTTATTTCTTTTTAATATAATATTAATTTTTTTTCCCTCCATAACACGTACGTATTTATTTCAATCACCCAATTTATGATTTTGGCACCCATGGACAATAACACTTTGACACCCCCAACTTTGCTTATGATTAATTTTATAACTACTTAAAGTATTTATACTAATTATAAGGATTTGTGGCACCTAATTTAGTATTTAGATAAAAAACATATCATTAAACATTTTTAAAAAAGACGTATGTACTTTGCACGTAGGTGCAGCCACTGTTGTATGTGGCTAACTGTAGGTGTAAGATACAGGCGGGAATTTCATATATATCTGTAAGCAATGATAAATAATTGCTAACAAAAAACGATTATGAGCGGAGTTCAGTTGTTATTGATGCTTTGTGTTGAAAAAGCATCAAAATATGTATGTCACATTATAGTAAAATAATTAAATAAGCATTATATATTTTCTTTAATAATATTGTGCTAGTTTTTCCGGTTTTTACTTTTTACCTTTTATTGGGAAAACATCAAAAAATAACCACCTTAAAGAACCACTATAAAAACATATCCTTTCAAAAAATTCGCTAAATTATAGATATCGGAGTAAGCTTTCTGGTAAAAAAAAGTGTTCACATAAAAAAAAAATAAACATCTTTGTAAAACCAATATATTCTTCGTTCCAATCAGAATCTAAAAAAACAGGCAAATACAGTAAAGGGTAAATGATATTATAATAAAAAAGAACAGTATATTATAACATATTTAAATTTTATTTCAGGTTTTTAGATACCGAGCGTAGCGAAGAAACTATTGGTTTTACTATGATGTTTATTTTTTTCTTTCTTTCTTTGTTCTAGCCTGTAGATATGTTTTTTCTTTGTAAACTTACTCCGATGTATAAACATAGCACCTTTTCTGAAATCTCAAGTTATCTAGGTTGTACTTTGTCATTTTTTAATTTTCAACGAAATTTTTAAAATAAAAGCACTCAAGTGAGAAAAAACCTAGACAAATGTACGATTTCACGATTTCATTATTTTATTAAAACACGGACGACGTTTTATACCAGAAAAAATTGATTTAATTGAAAAATCACAAGAAACTTTTTTTGTTGCCTTTTTGATTCACTCTTTTACTGTATAATCGCTAAAAGTATTAAGCGACTTTTAAACTTTTGAGGAATTTTATTTTCGAGAGTTTTTTTTACTATAGTTCGGTTATAAATGCACTTTAAGACTTGAAACTTGGTAATAATACTTATATTAGATTTACCTAGACGTGGTGAAATTTCGAAAATCATCGGACGACTTTTTTTCCTTTTTTAAAATTTTTTTGAAATGGTACTTTTTTTATATACTGTAGACCACTTTTATTCTAGAAAACTTGCTTTGATGTATAAGTATAGCACCTTTTCTGAAAGTCGAATTTTTCTACTTGGTTACTAGATAAGTCATTTTTTGATTTTCAAAACTGTATTTAAAATAAAAACGATTAACTTTGAAAAAAATACGATATTTTCACGATATCGTTATTATAAATAAGTACCTATCACGTTTTCTAGCACAAATATGACTCAAATTGAAAAACGACAAGTGATCTTTTTCGTTGAATTATTAATCTTGTTCTTAATGATGAAGGTCATTTTTTGATTTTCGTATTAGATTTCATAATAATCGGGAAAAAACGTAGGAAGGTTATGTTAAAAAAAATGTCTGTATTTCAAATTATGTATTACTGAACTGCGCTCGGAATCGTCTTTCGTCAGCAATAGTTTATCGTTGCTTACAGATATAAATGAAATAACCTTATGTACCTTATCTTTACAACTTATCATCTACAACAGTTGCGCACTCGTCTCCAGTATCAGCTCTTTTTTTTTAATATTGGGAAAGTTACGGAAGCGATTTTTTGTTTTGGTTATTAAACCGACGTCAGAATTCACATTACTTGTGACTTTAATTGGACAGGGTTTTGATCCTGATTTACCCGAAAGAACAATTTTTAAAGTAGTAACAGGGGCACAGATCTTAGAGAAAACATCATTAATAACTAAAGAATCATCGGCATCGTTGTTCGATTCAGGGAAGTTAAAGATTATGATATTTTTTTCACGTGGTTAGCGATCTTGCAATTCGTTGAGCATGTCCGAATAGGGCGCATTGCCATTAGCTGACGAATTTTATTCTAATTTTACAATTCTGGATTCAAGTAGATATAATTTTTCACGAAATTGAGTATTTTTGGCAACTAAGTTATCTATTTTATTATTAGCAGATATTAATAAAAGGTCATGTATTTTCTGATTTTTGAGAGCATGTCCAAGTTTGAAGGTTAACACAAACTACATTTCCATAAGACATTTTTCGGGGAGGATCTAAAAGTAGGGACACAACTGCTGTGAGCAATATTTTTCTTACAGTCACCATAAATAACAGAAGCCGTATTTCGATTAATTGTGGAAGAGCAAATATAACACGTGAGATCCATTACGAAAAACCTAAACAATGATAACGAACACACGTAAAATAAACAATAACGGAACATCTTCCCTGTATGACATGGATGGAATAGATAAATAGATGAAATATTAGATAAAATAAATTTCGGTGTTGATATTTTTGATATCCGTCAACTCATTCACAAGATATTCCACTTTTAATTTATGCACAAACACTATTTAAGCACCAGAAGCTGTACTGCTTCAGAAATTATACTTTATTACTCTCCCCCTGCTAAACTTAAAAGTGGAATATCTCGTGAACAAGTTGACGTAAATCAAAAATGTCAACACTAAAGTTTATTTTATCTAATATTCCATCTATTTATAGAACTTATAATTTAGATTTTTATTTGAAAAACCGACGTTGGTATCGCCACATAATACTTATAATATATATAATACTCCTTAAATGTTGTGAAAAATTCAAATTTATACGATACAATAATCTTTAACTACACTTTAAAATTCTAAAATCAGAATTTAAATGTATGCATAATTTAATCCTAAATTGGGGGAAGCATGCTTAATGAATCACCCTGTATATACGATTTTGGACGGGTTGGGAAATTTAGGTTAACCTAACCTAAATTAAAATTGTTATCCTTTAACACACACTATACAGCAGAGATTTACGATTTATTTGTTTTGAAACACCGTCCATATTATTTGATTCACTCTTATTTCCTATAAAATATTATAATTATTATATCACGATCCTATTGCACAAGTCGACTAGTGAAGTTCGAGTAATATCGGTCTTTATTGGCCAGTGAAAATTTATTCGCCTCTCGACCGTAAATATTTATGCAAATTGTCCAGTCCGCCGTTATGCTATATTTCTCATTATGTATAATAATATTATGTGTACATTGCTATTTACCAGGAAACTCTATAACTCATATAATACTATATTATATGCTTTATTATAACTACATTCCCGAATCACAATGTAATCAGAAACTAATTCTTGCAGCTTCAAGACGAATACCTATACACTTATAGATTTATTAAGTATACAATATATATTCCAGTAAATCAAGAGACTTTGTAAGCATACTTATGACCCATATAATAATATAATATACATTATTTTATATACATCTATAGACTATAACAAATAATATTTCTATCTCAAACATTATTCTAATCATTAAAATAGCTATATTACCCAAATGCCCCACTGGTATTTTTTTATGGTATTTATTCCTATAATATTGGAATAAAAACCACTACGTTTTGATGATGGTTAAATGGTTACTATCTATTATCATGTTTACGAAAACTTTAATTATGTTATAAAATATTATTTTTAAAAAACCCTTCCTAAACTAACCTAGTTTTCCTTTAGCGTTAAAAAGTACTATACTCTATAAATCGGAACAAGGTTTCTTTACGAAAAGTTATTTACAGAAATAAAAAAAAAATGGACATAGTTTGCGCAATGAGCGGACGATTGTTGTAGATGAGAAGTTAGGAAGGTAAGATATATAGGGGAATTTAATGTATATCTGTAAGGAAAGATTAATCATTGTTAATGAAAAACAATTCTGAGCGGAACTCGGTTAATAGTGTTGCTTTTTCAACAGCATGTCATACTCGTATTTATAGTAAAATAAATATTGATTGAATACAATGAATTATACAGCAAACACATATTGTTTTGAGAAGGTAGTAAAAATATTTTCCTATTATGCAATTTCATATTTTTAATTAATAATAGTGACTACGGATATTTTAAACTGAAA